TTTTTACAATGTAAGTTTCCCCCCATAAATATCTCCTCATCAGTGGTGCCTACTACCTGCTACATTAGAATGTGGTAAAAAAAGAAAAAAAAAAAATGGAGTCTGATTCTGAAAACAACTCCTAGCTAATAAATGTCAACCTTGGCCATACCGAAGGTACTGTGCCGTTTTGCTCCTTTATTCCTTTCCCCTGATCCGTCTTACACTCCGACCTTCTCTGTTGGGAGGACCCCACTTGCTTCCAGTTAACCCCGCAGATGGATTTTCCCATCTCCCAGAATCTTGCGTCTTTGGCATCTAGGTGTGCACTTTCCAGCATTTCCAATAATATGCTTTAAACATTTTAGACTTATAAATGTCTACCTTCATTCTCTCATTCTAAAATAGAAGAGATGATGATATTTTCTTCCACTCCGGTCCTGGGAAACCTCACTTTTCCTCCCGTCTTCTCCTCCCCCACTCCTAGACTGCCCTTCGGTAGTGAGCTGGTATCGTGGGTCCCCAGGGCTGAGGAGCTGGTGTTTCCAGGGTGTCCAGTGGGGTGCCCTGAAGAAGGCAGGGCCAGAGGGAGAACTGGGAAGGTGGAAACATTACAAAGACAAATGCACTTTATTGATAAGGCAACAGCATTATACAGAGCTGAGGCAGAGACCCCGTCTGGCCAGGGCCACACTGGGGCAGGGGTTTCTGATTCACATTGAGACACAGGCTGAGGTGTCCCTCCTCCTCCTCCTGATGGGTCAGCAGGGTGACAACTCAGGGAAGGAACGCAGGGGTCCAGGATCTAGATTTGCTGTCTAAAATCCAGACCCTCCCCTAGGGGACTAGGGCAGTCTTCGGCGGGGGGGGGGGGGGGGGGGGGGGGGGGGGGGGGGGGGGGGGGGGGGGGGGGGGGGGGAAATGGGGTCTGAGCACAAGTGTGGTGTAGTGAATAGAGCACTGGTGGGCGGGGAGTCCACAGACCAGGCCCATCCCTGGAGCTCTTTCTAACTAGCCGTCTGAGCTCGGGGGACCACACCCTCCACCAAGGGTCGGGTTTTCTTTAGCAAGGAAGTTGAACTAGTGTAGCAATTTTTAAGCCTTTTTTCCCCCACTGACTAGCATGCTAGACCAGTGTCTTCTGCAGCTAAAATCCAACAAGGGCCTCTCCCTAATTCGTGAACAGCAAGGACAATAACGATAGCTGATGTATAGAATTTTTTTACAATGTAAGTTTCCCCCCATAAATATCTCCTCATCAGTGGTGCCTACTACCTGCTACATTAGAATGTGGTAAAAAAAGAAAAAAAAAAATGGAGTCTGATTCTGAAAACAACTCCTAGCTAATAAATGTCAACCTTGGCCATACCGAAGGTACTGTGCCGTGAGAAACGTGGCTGTCAGAGGTTTCTCCACCAGCAGAAACACCGGGCCTGGTGGACGCGGACAGTGCTCACGGAGGAAGCCTCACTGCTCCCTGGGGTCCTCAGAGAACAGCCAGGGAAGGTGGAGGCAGCATCGGACCGACAGGAGCTCCTCCCCAGTGAGACACCGAAAGCAGCCGCCTTCCCCAAACTCAAGCAACCATCTGAGGGACGCTCTCTGACTCCCGGAGGGAGCCTCTCCACAGTGGCCCCCCACACCTACAACTCACTCACCGGGGGACCCCACCCCAGGGGAAACAAAGTGAGAGTTCCCACCTCCCGGGCTGGACCGACTACGGAAGGGAAAATGGAGTGTGAAGTTAAGTACCCCCACCCCTTCTGAATTTGGGGTGCTGGAGTGAGAATAAGAAGCGACCCAGCCCCACATGACTCCGCCCCGGGATGCTCCCTCGGCCTAGCCATGCGAGGCCAGCCCGCTCTCCCTCCACCCACAGCGAGGGGTTGGAGCACTAGCTCCTGGGTCTCTGGGGGACGGCAATCTTGGAACTACACCTAGATGGGCCCCCTGGGAGGGCAGGGCCTGGGCTGTTGGGGTCTGAGGTTCTTCTCTTCCATCCCACCTTGCCAGGTGGAAAAGAGGTGGCAACGCGGGTGAGCAGAGGGGCACTGCTTCTCCAGGCCGTGGGGGATTTGGGAGAGTGCGCCCATCTCAGGGTCACCCTCCACCGTCCCAGGGTGAGGCCCCCCCAGCACCCACGGCCACTGGTTCTCTCTCTCCTGAGTGGGAGGTAAGGCACTGGCAGGGTGAGGATGAAGATGCTGCTGGGCATTTCTCTGCAACCTGGGGGCAATTCCGTCTTGCCACGTAGATCATTGGAAGGGGAGCTCTGGCCTCCACCAACCTCTCAGATCCAGGTCAAGGAGCCATGGGCTTGGAGACAGGGACAGCTGTGGCCACCATCTACCACTCTCCTGTGAGGCAGGGTTTGCCCGTCCCCCACTTCCTGGGCCCTGCTCTCCTCCCTCCTCGGGCCTCTCGGCGGGTGGGTTCTGGGCTAGTGGTCCCTGCCGTGGGGGGAAAGCCCGCCTGACCATCGCTACTTCGGGAAGAATGTCACCATAGCAATGGGATGAAGGTGGGCACTGATGTGTTAGGTGAGTGCCCTCTGGCCAGCAGAGGTGGGCGAGGGGGGAGGTGTGACCTTTGTCACCTTGTGTTTGGTCATCCTTGGCAGTGAGTGTCCTAGACAGGCCAGGGCTGGGAAGGCAAAGGGAGAGGGCCCCATCATGGCATGAAACAGCACAGACTGGCAGCAGGACGGGATGGGGGGCGAGGGGCGGGGGTGGGGGCGAGTTATTCATCGTGGGTGGGGCAGCGGGAAGGAGAGCCCCACTCGGCTCTGGGCATCCGGGCCAGGCGTGGCGGGGAGGTCCGGGTATCTCTGTCCCTGAGGAATGGGCGCGTTTCTTGGGCCTCGCTCTTCCCTCAGCAGCAACCAGGGGCCACTTTTGGAGCCGTAGGGCCATCCCTGGGCGAGGCCCCACCTTCACCATCTGCCCTCTGCCCCCACTTGAGTTTCTTGGTCAAATAAACAGCAACTCCTCATGACTGAGGTCTCAAGGGACTGCGGGCAGCCTGTGGCCAGCAGGTAGGGGAGACCTGGTGCTAGGTCATGCAGGAGACCGGGTGGGCTGACTGGGGAGGGGAAGTGCGGGAGGAGGGGCAGGGCTCCGGAGGGGGCAGGGAGGCCTGCGGGGCAGCAGCGGGCCCCAGGCCAGGGCACAAGGCCCCTGAGGAGCAGCCCCGCCCAGGGGCCCGGGCAGGCTGGCCTAGTCAGGAAATCTCATTGCCAAACACCTCCAGCACGAGGGGTGTGAGCTTCATGCTGCACTCGGGCTGGAAGGAAAGGCAGCGATACTGCTTGGAGTGCTCCTCATTGAGGCTACGCAGGTCGGCTAGCTTCTGGATCATCTTGGCGTAGAGCAGGTGGCTGCCCGGGGGTGGGTGGCGGCAGCGGATGTAGGTCTGTAGTGTGTTGGACAGGCGGTCCTGGATGGCCTCAACCAGGGCAGCATCCTGCACCCCGGGACGGTCTGGGCGCACAGGGAGACGGGAGGAGAAGGCACAGGAGCTCTGAGCCAGGTCCCTTAATAGTCCATCTCCCCAGGACCCCTATGCCCAGACAGACACCCAACCTCAGCATCCTCCTGGGTCACCCCTGTATGGCTGCTGACCTGTGACACCACAGTCCCCCCTAAGGCCTCTCAACCATTACCCCTTGCATTTCGGATCAAGTGGCCCAGGTCCCATCCGGCCCTGTCTCCAGCTCAACTCTCTCCCTCCATCTCTAGGCTCCATGTTTCCATGAGTAAACTGATGTGCCATGCTCTCTGGCCTCCACGCTTCACATTTGTGTTCCCTCTGCCTGGAACTTAGCTCTTGCGTCTTTGCCTCTTACTGATCCTTCAGGTAACAGCTTAAAAGATCTTCCTCAAGAGGGCCATTCCCAATGACCCCCCACCTCCATTCCCAGACTGCATCAGTTTCTCTCCTTCTATTATACCCTGCTATAGTATCAGACACTTGTTTATTTTTAAAACTTTCATCACATTAAAATTAGTCATTAAATAGTAATTGTTTAATGTCTCCTCCTACAGTTCATGGAAGAGAAGTCTGTGTCCTGTTTGCTGCTAGATCCCAATGCCCAGCACAGCGCCTGATACCTGGTAGGTGCTCAATAAATCATTGCTGAGTGTAGGAAGGAATGAATGAGCGAATGCTGGCTGGGCAGGGGGAGGGGAGCCCACGTTCCTTCCGTGGGTCCTCAGCTCATCCCTCATCCGTGGGTCCTCAGCTCATCAAGCCATCTGCTTGTTCCCCCTCAACACAGGTGGAGGCAGGGCTGCCCCCCGCCCTTAGGCCTCATCACTAATATAACATCCCCAGGATCACAATAACCTCCTTCTCAGCCTCTCTCTCTCTCTCTCTTCCCACCCCAACAGACAGAAGAGCTCAGGGCCACAGCACACTGCCTCCAAAATCCGTCGGGTAAGCTTCCGAGGCAGAAGCATCTGTAAGCCCCAAGTTTTTCTACCCTACCCCACAGGTGATCTCAAGTGTCAGCAAAGTTCAGTCCAGTTCACATAAGAGCAGAACCTGAGTACTGGGGACATCCAGAGCTGTCTATGGCCCGAGAAACCCCATTTATCTGGTTCCTCAGAGTCGCACCTATGAATCACCTATGGTCTCAGGGCCATAGGCAGTGAAGGACCTCTCAACATACACATATCATATGGGCTGTGCAAAACCAGCAAAGTGGGTATTTCCTTGTCTCTCTTTCGTTTTGCTCCCTCCTCCCTCCAGACTGCCCTGCTGGCCTTCAGCTGGGCTTAGTGCTTCATGTTCCCCCTTCCCAGGTCTCCGAGGTCCCCACTGCTAGGCCCCATACCTGGGGAGACAATGCAGATGGCCATGAGCAGGACATGCTCCTCCTCATGCAAGTTCAGCTTCTTCAGCCCCACCTGGAACTTGATCAGGGGCTCAATCAGCTCCAGGCTGTGTCCAGCTATGAGACAGATGGCCAGACGCTGTGGGCAGAACTGAGGAGCTGCCTACCCAAACCACCCCACCCCACCTCCAACCCTGACTGGGCCTGTCTCTCACCCTTCTCACCTTGTTGCTGCCTAGCCCCCTCCGATGCACCTGATCGGGGCCCATGACCCCAGGAAGTGCAGAGCCAGAGTCTAGGAGCAGAGGATGGGGTGGAGGTGGGGCCTGAAGGTACCTTTGGCCACATCACTGATGCGGTACTTGTAGTCCTCGCTGCCACAGGTCCAGGACATGTCGTCCATGATGAAGGACTGGTTGGAGCGCAACATGATGACCTCGATGGCACTTGACTTCAGCAGCACAATCTGGTCATCAGAAGTGAGGTCTCTGCCAGGGAGGGCAGGGAGGAGTCAGGTTACTGGTCAAGAACTTCAAGTCATGCAAATCACTGTAGCATTTTGACAGGCGCCTGCCAGGTGACCAGCATGTGCCCTGGGTCCTTCATTGAAGAGCTGGTGGTCTGATCGGAAAGGAAAAAAACTGTTTCCCTGAGGGAGAACATCTCAAGACTGTGATTGTGCACCGAGGCTGGAAGTAAATGAGCTCAGTTACTAAGGCAGAGAAAACCCAGGGACTTACTGGGGTCCCCAGGCCTAAGTGGCCAGAGCTATTAGGGGCAGGAAGAAGAGCCTGGGGGTGCTCTCAGGGTTAGAGCATGAATGCGGAGGTCAGCAAGAGGTATGGCCACAGTCATCTTCAACACCTCTCATGCCTTCTTTTTCTCCCCTTCCTGTCCTCTGGTCCTTCCCAGAAGTAAAGCTCAGCCAACTCTCTCTCCAGGACATCTCTTGAGCCCTTGACCTCCTTCCCACTACAATCAGGACTGTTCTGGTTCAGAGCTCCATCATCTTTTTCAGTTGCCTCTTATTAGAACTCTAGAACCGAGTCTCTCTCGGGTCTCTCCTCCATGGTGCTTACGGCTCCTGCAGGGAGATATCGCCTGTGCTCGGAAACACGCCCTGACCCTCAACCCCCTCAGGATCAAGCCCATGCTCCATCCATTGGCTCCAACCTGTCTTTCCAGCCTGCTTCCCTTCACAAACTCCACCAACCCTCCATTCTCGCAACTTCACACTACTCCACATTCAGTGTCGTGTGTTCTTACACCAGCTTGCCTTTGGGCATGTGACAGCTTCAGCCAAGAATGCCTTTCTTCTACTGCTCCACCTCATCTTCCTGACTCTGAACCTGGTGAGGTCTCCCTTGGAGACCCCCCAGCCCCATTACCTTCAGTAGGATTAGAACCATTTCTTCACGGCCTGCAGCTTGCACTCCTACTTTGCCCTTCCCCCTTCAGCTCTGCTCTTTACGTGCTTGTCTGTGTCTCGGAACATGCAAGCTCCTTGAGGGCCAGCACCACTTCCCAATTCCCTCAGTGTTGCCCACACAGATTATTGAGCCCTGAGCACAACAAGGTCAACAAATATGTGCTGATGAGTCAAGAGGCCAATGACTAGTTCTACTATTCTGAGTCACGAGCTGGGCTTGCCTGAACAATGACAAGGAAAAAGCAGCACCCACAGATCAACTTGCTTCCAGTTTTCTCTCCTTTTCTCTTCCTGACTACATTTCCACCTGGATATCTCATGGAAGGGCTGCCGCCCTCTCCCATGGCTGCACTTCGGTACATGGAGAGGTGGGAGGCAGATGCTAATGGATGGAGAGTTCTGTTATCAGCAGGTGATAGATGATGGCTAGGATGGCCGCAAAGGGTCTGCATTGAAAACAATCTCAAAGCGCTTGAGTTGGAAGGCCCCCCTTAGAGGCTATGTGATCCATTTCCCTCTTCAGCATTCCCTACAGATAGATGCAGGCTATTTCTGGGGCCAGGATACTTGAGGTCTCCGGATCTAGCCATGAGGTTGTTAACTCCTGGGTTTATAGCTTCTTCTATTGAGCTACACCCACAGGATGACACACTCATCCACTGCTTGTCATTCTGTCCTCTCAAGGAACACAGAACTAGACTTCTCCATTGGCCATGGGGCATCTTTTAACCATTTAAACAAAGTTACCATGTGCCCCTGCCTCTTCTCCAGGACAGACAGCCTTGATGACATGGTGCCTAGACACCTCACCACCCTTGCCACTTTTCTCTTGATGCTCAGTACACATTTTAAAAATAAAAACTAATGCCTCATTTTAGTTTTAACTCATTACACAATAAAAGATACTCATTATGAAATCTTTGCAAAACACAGAAAGATATAGAAGCAAATAAAAATTGTTCATAAACACAATGACCATTTTGGTCTATTTCCTTCCTATCTTTTTTTAGATGCAAATCTCTCTCTCTCTTTTAAATTTATTTATTTGTGAGAGAGAGAGAGAGAAAAAAAGAGAGAGCACACCTGTGGACAGAAGAAGAGAATCCTCAAGCAGACCCCCTGCTGAGTGTGGAGCCTGTCTTGGGGCTCGATCTCAGGACCCACGAGATCATGACCTGAGCAGAAACCGAGTCGAATGCCCAACCGACTGAGCCACCCAGATGCACCGCAAATCTCTCTTTTTCAAACATACTTGAGTTCATGGTAATTCTGTGTCCCACTTCCTACATCATGAGCAATTCTTTGGCCCAGTCCATAGCAAGTTGCATAAAATTACATCTTATCAACATACTATAAGTTATTTAATCAGTCTCCCATCCACCTGTCTTGGGACATTTTGGTTGCTTCTAACTTTTGCCATTATAAGTAATTCTGTGAGGCATTTCTTTGTACATAAGCTTTTGTTCAATGGCCCATTTGAAGTGGATGGCCGGAAGTGAACTTGCCAGAGAGATTTCAGGGGCACCTCTCCTACTGTGATCCAGGCACATGGCTCCTATGAAAGCAAACCTAGAACGACCTCAGATTATGGCCAGAAAACCCAGGGACTTCTTTTTTTTTTTTTTAAGATTTTATTTATTTATTTGAGAGAGAGAGAATGAGAGATCGAGAGCACGAGAGGGAAGAGGGTCAGAGGGAGAAGCAGACTCCCCGCCGAGCAGGGACCCCGATGTGGGACTCGATCCCGGGACTCCAGGATCATGACCTGAGCCGAAGGCAGTCGCTTAACCAACTGAGCCACCCAGGCGCCCCACCCAGGGACTTTCTAAGTGCAAGTCACAGCCAGAAGAGGGGATGGTGGCAGGTGGGGGGGACAGGTGGAAATGACGGGGAAATCGGTAGGAGAGCTCCTTCCTGCTGACGGGCACCAGGTCAGTGTCTGTGCCTCCTCCCTGGACCGGTGTAATGTCTATATCCCCTGATCCGTTTTCACACCGGTGGCCGGCTGCTTCTGGGCACCTGGGGGGTGCTCTGGAGACCTGCGGCTGTCTGGCTGTCCCCGCCCCCAGGCAGAGCCCAGCCCCTCCTCGCCTGCATTCCCACGGTACCTCCGGCAGACCTCTCTTGGTTCTTATCTCTTCACCGCAATTGTCTCATGTCTATCTCTTCCATCAGACACTGAGCCCTGGGGGTCAGGAACTGTGTCCTAGTCAACTTGTATCCTTCACAGTTTATGGAAGAAAGCTATTTGTTACATAAATGAGCAAGTGAAGACGGAGGAGAGGACATGGGAGGAGGGACACACACTATGGCCTCAGGCCTCTGACCCAGGAAGGAGCCCCTGGGAATAGAAATGACAGTGAGGTCAAAGGTCTTTCGCCCAGAGGGCTGGGCTTCAGCTGGTTTGGCCTGGTCTGTCTTACACCTCTCTTGGCAATGAAACCTGGGGGTCCTTGGTTCTCAGGTCCAAGATGGCTCCTGGCCATTTGGATGCTCCTCCTGATTTCACTTCCTCCATGCCTTTCTTTCTTAAAAGATTTTATTTATTTATTTGACAGAGAGAGAGAACACAAGCAGGGGGAGGGGTGGCAGGGGAGGGAGAAGCAGGCTCCCCGCTGAGCAGGGAGCCCGACAATGCACGGCTCGATCCCAGGACCCTGGGACCATGATCTGAGCTGAAGGTAGATACTCAACCCAGGCACCCCACCTCCAGGTGAAACGCTTAGGGCGGGAGATTTGTGGGGTGCAGAGGGAGAGGCTGAGGAGGGGAGGTGGGAAGCAGGAGCAGGGCCAAGGCACACCACAGTGCAGTTCACACCCAGCACGGCCTATTCAGTCCTGCCCCACTTTGGTCCCAGGCCTGCACTGGAGTCTCAGCCTGCCCCC